TGCAAGCACTAGCATAAGCATGGCAATTTTTCTTGTGCACAGTAACTCCAATTTTATCGTATTGTTAGTCTGTGGAATAGCTTGCTGAGCTTCTTAGTTTTCATCTTTTTTGCAAGAAGACTACTGCGATAGTTGTGCGTGTCCATATAATCGGTAGTTCAACTCTTCCTTTACGCGCGCATTTAGTTCTTGGACGTATACGGTAGACGCCTTCTTTTACACATAATTTGGCAGCAGTTGCAAGAGATTTTCTCAAAAGTTTTTTTGAAGTGTTACTTGAGTGAATTATTACGAGTTGGGCATTGTATTGGACATCCTTTTGAACTGAAAGCACTAAAAACGATATATGGCTTGGTGGCACGTTCGATGAGTTACAAGTAGTTGACTGAAAGGTGAAACAAGTTAATTTGGACCATCCATAACATCAAGGGACCTGCTATTTCTTGCTCTCCCTTGGTAATTATCGAATCATCAATTAGCAATCGGACAAAACATTGAAGTTACCTCACCTTTGATGATAAAACTTCAATTTCATTGCATCAAGGATAAGCGAATAATGCAAGTGAATAATCAGCAGCAATAAGTCACAGAAAATGATGAAAATGTAGAGGAAGTGGTACAAGGAGAATATGAGAATGTTTTATTTGTGGCAAGTGTCATTCGTCTTTCTAGCTGTTTATCTAGCATTCCTAAGCGGCAAGTCTAGTTGTTTTGTCTGAAAGTCTGATGTTGTTGCAGCTTCGTCACCATTTTTTGATTGAAATTATTGACGCTGCAACCATGTGAGGTGTTTGGTGATCATCATAACTCGATAGAAATCGTTCTTTGGAGTACGCGTATTATTTTCAAGATTTCTCTTAATTTATGTATTCCTTTCTTTTCCCTTTTTGGCATGTTTTGGAAATAGAATTTTGTGCATCAAAGATAGCCATAAAGTGGTGCTTCTACCATTACACAAAAAAAGGGAATTTTCAAACTTCTGCCAATTGGACCAGAAATTACATTGCCGTTGAAATTACGAACAATTGATGGTCGTATGGTCGTATGGTCCGAAACAATGCTCTTTTCGAAAGACTTTCAGGAGATGCACTCACAAGATTGCCCAAGGGCTTATCGATTGCGCTGATTGGGAAGTCTTCATTTTTTATCTTCTATCTGTGCTTGATCTGTGATCCACAGACGAAATCAACATCATCGACGTTTCTAACGAAATTGCAATTTTGAGTTTTTTTATGTTCACTTCGAAAACATCAATTTCGTTCACAAGGTCTGACGAGGATGCAACGATAATACCATGGTAAAAATTTTCGCAAGCATCAAGATTGATTAAATTGATTTATCCCATCTGTACGTACATACAACTAGATTCTGATATGATGAGAAAGCTTCACCTAAACAAAAAAAAAATAAATCTCAAGTGATGAGAGTCTGAATGGGAATGTGAGATTGAAGAGCGAAGGCAACGCTGTCGATAATGATAAATGTTACAAAAATAAAGTAAATATGAAATCATCTATCACGTATGAAGTGATGAAAATGCATGTGTGGATTGACTGATAATTCAACCGGGAAGAGAAGATGATTAGAAATTATACGGGGCAGTTGATGGGGTATAACAATGAAAGCTCAGCAGGAAGGATGATTTGAAAAATAACAGGACAGTCACTAACAACAAGTAAAATCTGTAGCTAGCAATATGACACGTGAGAAGATTATCGTTGAAGGAAATAAAAAATTGAATGGGAAATAAAAATTGGATGATAATAATGGAGCTAACACTCATGGACTCGAGGGCTATCATCATCACCAAACTGAACACATGGCGCCTTGCCAAGTGTGAGCCGTTCTTCTTTTGGCGGTGTCACCCGTTGAACCGAAACCATCGATGGAGCTGCCGATTCTTGTTTGATGGTAAATCGCCTTGCTTTTCTGCATTTACACTAATCGTTTGGAGAATAAATAGATTCAAAATTCATCAACTCACCCGTTGCCACCTGTATCAGTATCAATTTTCCTCGTTGGCGAAACTGATATGCGGAATCTCCTCGATGGGGAAGATGACCTGCCCTCATCATCGGTCGAAGAAATTACGGGTGAGGCCTGAATTTCCTTTTTGATTTTCTTTTGTATGATTGAAACTTCCGATTACAAACCAGGTAAACATCCTATCTCACAATGAATCAAACTTTATAACTTTGAATCAATTGAAGGAAAATCCAATTTTTTGATATCACGGTTCGATCTCTATTTCAATAGAATTTTGTCTTTTTAGGAATATTAGTATTATGCTAATAATAACGTAGACAAATACAAGACACACCCTTCTAGATAAGATTTTTATCTGATCAGTTTGTTTCATTAATTACACTTGTGGCATTAAAAAAAAAGAAAAAATAGCAAGTTGCGTAAGGCAAGATTATTTTTAGGCTCAAAAACCTCTGAAGAATAAAAAACATTATGGTCAGTCTAC